ATGGGAAGAGAAAGTGAGGTCAACAACTGAGCGCATTTTTCTCCTCACTATAAACAATCCGACGCGCTTGAAGTTATCACGGTGCGCTAAAAGCCGTGGCTTGGAAGGCTGCCGGCTGACGGGATAACTTGGACCTCGCTGTCGTCCTAGTGCTGTGTGTTTGTTTGGAGCGGCCGACTGGTGGTGTAAAAGTCAGGCTGCAATGCATCCTTCTTATTGTGGCCATTATGACACTCCGACTCCGTGGGCTCTGTCACGGGTGTGACGGCATGCCTAGGTGCGGCCCCGGCAATGTCAGTCACCCTTTTGTTTTTGGTTAAAATCCTGCTCATTAGCTGTGTGAACCAGGGGATGTGGTGTGGAGCGCCAAGGTGCGGGCTGACCGTGCCATCCACCTGCGCCCTCGCCCGCCTCCGGTCTTCCTGACTCTGTCGTGGCACCGGCTCCAGGTGGGGGAGAAGAGAGTGCGGTGGGTGCCGCGCAAGTCTGCTTTCACTGTTAACTAACTCACGCGCAAGTCACCGTGCCTGCTCTCAACTTGTTGTGGAGCACACGGTAGACATCGTCAGCAACGACGGTCGAACTGGCGTGTGCGTTTAGTGACTGACGGGTGAACATCTAGTCTGGTCCACTGTCTCTATGGCATTTCCACGTATGTGAGATTCTAGCCCGCCATCACCATTGTGATAAATGCTGACTTGTTGTGTAGGCCGTGTGTGTGTGCGTGTGTGACAAAAATGACTTACCGTCTCGGATAGTGGATTGCTATCTACCCGAGGGAACAGATGATGAGGCTGACAACTCAGCGCATATCCTTCGCTATAAACAATCGGATGCGCGTCTGAACTCTCACGGTGCGCTAAAAACCATGGCTTTAATGACTGCCGAATACAACCTGTCAAACGAGTCTTAATTCGGAAATTACCATCTGCTGAAATGTATACATGCCAGCGAGTAATCTGAATGCTTTTTAATCGGCGGTTCGGAGCGCCTTGATTTAAATCTGGTCATAAAGACATGATAAATAACATTAAGCGAATGTTGAATAACCTCGAGCTTAATCTGATAGCGTCCGTGCATGGAAGTGAGATCAAGTCCCGCCTTTAAACTCAAGTCGCCTGTCCCAGAATCCAGAGGGAAGATGACCTTTTCATTGCCCTCGGCAGTAAGGAAGACCACTTCCAATAGAAGAAAAGAGACAAGTCCCAGGAAGCAGTCTTGAAGAAGAAGACAAGATCGCCGGGACATAAGCTTTATTAGCCTGACGTTTCGGATTCCTGCTCGAATCCATCATCAGAGACAAACGCAGATAAGGATGGTTCATGCATATGCGGCTGAAGTATTTATAGGATGCAGCAACCATGCTACCGAATACCTATGAATATTCACGACTCCCCCCCCTCTTCATCAGGGATCGTTGCACGTGGCGTGATAGCCGACATTAGCGTCGTTAATTGCTGCAATTTCATTACTTCGGCATTTACTCCCACCATCCTTGTCGATAGTCGTTAGTTTGACGAGTGGACTTCCCTGCAAGTCACACACTTAGATGAAAAGGACAGAAATCAACTTCTGACATTTATTCATCACGTAGCCATTCGCGTAAGACGGTCGTTGTTAAGCTTCCGCGCCTGAAGACAAAAATCATATATTCAACTGTATCTCCTTGCCCACTAAAACCTTAGAATGCGAAAACTACCATTCCATATCCGAATTTATTAACTCACGATTGCACCTCTGCCGTCTGCATGTCTCACTTATTTTGCGTGTGTATTTTGTTGCCATGTGACATTTATACTCGAGCAGGCCGACAGAAGGGATTTATTGTCGACCTACACCATGAATGCCTAAGTAAAGGTAATGACCAGTAGTCGTCATGTGGGCCGTTCGCATGTGCGCAGAGGAGAGAAGGCTCCTACACCTTGGTAGATTGAACAGGTCATCAGACGCATTCAATTGGCCAAAAAGGTAAAGTGGGTTATTGGTTGGGCGCCTACCTAGTATTTACGTGACAGAATCTACGCCGAAAACTTGCCTGATAAGTCCAGTGGGCAGCATCAACATCTGGGATTGCCAACGCACAAATTCTTCTCATAAACTCTGGAAGTTGGGTCATTGTAACCACGGTTACATCGTGCCTCGCAGAATGAGAGTGTACAAAGTTAGAAGCACTGAAGCTGCCTTTCTTACCACATCTTAATATGCCCACAACGTGAGTGCTTCAAGTCTGTCTCAGTCAGATTCCACAAATATCTCACTGCCAACTTCCCTCCCCTTTCGCGCAAAAACATACATCACGCTTTCTTTTTGACTTCGTCTACGCTGAAAGACTAAGAACTCACAGGGGAATTCCAGGTGGAAAAGTGAATGGTATGGTTGCTCTGCGTTGGGTAGACAAACTTGGGTGCATTGTCATTAACATCTGTCACAGTGATTTCGACTCGAGAGAAGGAGGTTTGACGGGGAATACCACGATCAACGGCATATACCTATAGAGGGAGAAAAATTGGTTTTCAGTAAGGAAGAGTATTATCACCTTTGGCCTATAATATCATCAGATGAAAATTTGATGAAGATGATGGAGGGAAGAAAGGACTTCTGGTGCAAACAGGCATTGCAAATGTTTTCTCAGCCTTTCGATGACTGAATAACCATAAACTTCAAAAATCATGATTACAAGCTGTCCAAAGCGATAAGATATCAACATCATGTTTACTTTTTCCCTTAATTCAGTATGCCTGAATAGGGTTATGTGGTATAGTTAACAAGGCAATTCCCTCACGGATAATCTGACCGCAGCCAGGCGTATCAATATCTGATTGCAGGTCCGTAGTGCCACTAGTAACGAAAGTGCTTTACAACGATACTGAAGCATTGCCCTCATTCGACTGCTTATTCCGATGGGTGTTTCGACAGAAGCGAATGACATTCGTTCGTGTTGAAGAAAAAGACACGATCGCCGGGACAAGAGCTTTATTAGCCTGACGTTTCGGATTCCTGCTCGAATCCATCATCAGAGACATAAGCAGATAAGGGTGATTCATGCACATGCGGCTGCAGTATTTATAGGATGCAGTAGCCATGCCACCGCATACCTATGAAAATTCACGGCTCCCTCCCCTTCATCAGGGATCGTTGCACGTGGCGTGATGGCCGATATTCGCGTCGTTAATTGCTGCAATTTCATCACGTGCGTTGGATGTTGGTGTGATGATTGCTCGACCATCTGACGCGCTGACCCGGGTGTTGGGAAGAGTGTTCATCAGGGCGCTCCCCGCGTGGCCAATTTCTCTGCCTAGACGAAGTATCAGCACGCTGTATTGAAGGGGAAGATCATTGCACTTGTTAATAGACTGGGGGCCAGTGAACCATGACTCAAGCAGCTCCCGGCTCACGCGGTTGTCACCTCTTGCGAGAATTTCGGCCTCGTCAAATTTGAATGTGTGGCCGGAACCCGTCGAATGAGCCGCAACTTGAGAGCTGGCGTCATTTCTCCGCACTACTGCAGCGTGTTCGGTCATTCGCGTTCGGAGCTGTCTTCCGGTTTCTCCGACGTACTTGCTTTGTCCGCAACTGCACCAGATCCGATAAACGACTCCAGACGTTTCTTGCCGTGGCAGTGGGTCTTTTGGTTTCATCAATTGACGGCTGATGGTTGCCTCTGGCCTGTGTGCAACTCCAACCCCAAGTGGTGCGAGAAGGCGGCCAACAGCTTCCGAAACGTTCTTGACATATGGAAGCGCTCGCCAAACTTTGGTTTCCCTGCGGTTAGGCCTTTCGTCCATTTTGCGTATGCACCGGGTAGCCATTGGCTTTGAATACCCGTCGGAGGTATTTTAGTTCAGCAATCTTGTCTTCCGGCTCACTGCAGTGCGTTTCGACACGCCGATAGAGCGTCCTTACACAACTGCGTTTGTGGCTGATTGGGTGGTTACTGTTGAAGTTCAGTACTTGCATCGTATTGGTCGCTTTCTTGAACACTTTGGTCTTTAGTCCACCACAATCCTTGCGGTATACGAGGGCATCCAGGAAGGCCAGCTGGTTGTTCACTTCCTCCTCCATCGTAAATTGTATGTCCGGGAAGACCGCATTCAGACGTTCCTTGAATGCCAGCAGTTGATCCCTATCGATAACGACGAAGGTATCATCCACATACCGGGCCCAGAACGTCGGTTTGTGTTGTTGGAAGACCAGCGACTCTAACCGTTGCAAGAGCGCCTCGGCGATGAACCCCGAAATCGGCGAACCCATTGGTGTGCCCTTCACCTGTTCGTAGATTGTCCCGTCGAACGTGAAGTACGTCCTGATGAACACTCTTCCCAACACCCGGGTCAGCGCGTCAGATGGTCGAGCAATCATCACACCAACATCCAACGCACGTGATGAAATTGCAGCAATTAACGACGCGAATATCGGCCATCACGCCACGTGCAACGATCCCTGATGAAGGGGAGGGAGCCGTGAATTTTCATAGGTATGCGGTGGCATGGCTACTGCATCCTATAAATACTGCAGCCGCATGTGCATGAACCACCCTTATCTGCTTATGTCTCTGATGATGGATTCGAGCAGGAATCCGAAACGTCAGGCTAATAAAGCTCTTGTCCCGGCGATCGTGTCTTTTTCTTCAAGACTGCTTCCTGGGACTCGTCTTTTCGCTTCTATCGGCAATTTGCTTGTGTATGAAAAAACCCTATGCGTTTGTTGTTCGAGAGCTGTGCAGAGATTCCTCAGACTAAAAGGGTCGACCGTTTTCCGAACGGTACCAGCACTCGATTCCAATGGTCTCCGGTCCCAAGCATGAACGTCAGTAACGGCATGATTTCCGTGTTTGTCCCATGTAAATTGTCCAGAAGAGCCCTGCGTAAGCATTGTGAAATGGCCAAAGGGCCTGTTGCGATGATGCTGTTGGTGCTGACGAAACATTTTTGCCTTTTTGTCCCACATCTCCGATCCAGTAAATGTCAATAGTTACAGCGGACTAGATGCATCCAGTGATGAGGCGGACTGGTGTGTTCACTTCCATCTTCGATGTCGTCGTCAGTCTGTAGTGTGCGAATTCACGCCGGTGAGGTCTGGACTCAAGTTCAAACGTCGGACGACTCCGACCCATTTTTGAGTGTGGCGAACTGGGGACGCAATTAAATCTGGAATGCCCATACTAGTCTTCCATCTACTTGTTCAACATGTTTCTCTTTGCATGCGAGTATCATCCGGAAGCTCTGTCGACTGGGAAACTAGCCTTACTAAATATTCGTCTGGAAAACTTGTGAACAAGTAGGTATTTTCGCCGCCAAGTCTCGGCCTCCAATGAAACGCAGAAAATCTGTGGATTCATCAAACTGTTGCCCTGATTTCGTTGCGCATAAGACAGTTGAAGGAACGCTTTTCTTCTTTTCTGAAGTCGGCACCACAGAAATTAGTGATGAATTAGTTCGATCAACAGCATTCTGGAGGAAAACATATGGTTTGTTCACGTTGGAATATCAGTTTGCACCACATTTCTATTCACAGTGCCGCTTCTATGCCACCATGCAGACTACGAGAGATTTCTGTTTATAAGGCAGGTAAAGAGACCGGAATTCTTATCCAACATGTGGCCGTATATGCAACGAATTTCGGTCATTTTGGCGAGTTGTCTGAAGGCAACATTAACTGTAAGGTCTTGAAAGATTAGACATTGGGGAAAGGAGCATGTCAGCGTTTCCACACATGATTTACTGCATACGATCTCGTCCGGTTGAACAGGCATAAATAGGAGGATTGTTGGGGAAGTCTGACATGAATGGGAAATCTTGGCACAAAATCCATAAAAAGCAAACCGGCCCAAGTAGACTGCCGGTAACCACAGCAGTGGAAGCAGGAAATGAACGACAGACGAAAGGCCCTAGATATCCCACATAATTCATTCGACGATTTCGCATTTAAATACGCGCTCTCCAGTGGCAGTTAGATGGTCCGGTCGAGAAGACTGCGGACTATTTCATGCACAGGGAGATTGAACAACTAATTGCTGGCCATTTGCCATTCCCTGGATTTAGAGAGTTTGCACATTTTTTCTCGCTCAAACCCATTAAACGAATGTCCAACAGATCCGACGCCATACTATTCCCCGTTGTAGACAACTGACACCGATCTCGACTTTTTACAACACTTTTGTTTGTAACACAGATTTCAAGAGGGAACGACTGCATGTTTTGGTGTGTGTGTGTGTGTGTGTGTGTGTGTGTGTGTTTTGCTCTTTAAACCGGCTGCGCTTGGGAGGCAATGGAACAAAACAAGGTCAGATCGACTGACTACACGCGATTCCTGGGGAGCGCGCAGTCCGCACGAAATCATGAGTACTACCGTATGTGTGTGTATGCGACAGGCCTTAGACGAAGGCCCTCACGCCACCACAGCTTCTGCGCCCATTCCAATAACTCGTTGGATGACAGGTTCGTACAATCCTCTGACGCTCGGAAGAGGGCGGAGTGATGCTGGCACTGTGGAGTACATCCCCTGGCCAAATAAACGCACTCCCACTATGATAAACCTGAAGCGCCTGAATATATCGCGACGTGTGAATAGTCGTGACCCTGAAGGTTGCCAAGTGGTGGGTTAACTCGCTAATTTGTAGTGTGGCCCTTATGGCAATTCCGCCAACTGAGATCCGAATCCACACATTTTGCAGGTCAGCATCGTATGTGGCACGCGTAGAATAGTAGTTTTGATCTGTAACCCGCTGTACGCGAGACCTCTTCAGTGAACTTGAGACTGTCTTACAATCAGCCTCAAGTGGGTGAGGAAGGAAAAAGAGGCGGTAAAAGCAGTGCAAATCAATTCATGCGCAAATCATTAGCCATGAGCACTCTACGTGGAACATAAGTTGGGAGCTGTCGCTTGCAAATAACGAGCTGTCATAAGGCGTAAAGTGAATTTACTCGGTAATCGATGAGTTATGATGCAAATAAAACAGCCCGAGGATAGCCGTTTGGCCCATTCATCGACACTTAAAGATTCCCTTCATTCAGTAATGCATGGAAAGTAACGTTTCATATCACCGTACAACAGCAGGGGAAAAGGGTCTCCGCTTAAACGGAAGTCTGTGGGTACACCAACTACAAACGCACTTGCATTACGCTCCTGCCGGTGTGGCTGGAGGAGCTGCAAGTGAAATGCTCTCACGCGGAACGCCTAACAGAGAGAAACTCTCGCATTCTCATACCCCCACCTTGCCAAGAAAACGGACACTTGCCCACAGTTGCAAGGATGTCATTGCACGCAGGCCGCGCAGAAGAGCTGGGTTTCATTTGACCATCTGCGGGAATGAGGTGTACGGACAGCTCCCACTAACCGCATGTCCTGCAGGGTCGTGCACACTCCCGCAATATTGCCTACATTTGCATGATCATCGAGGCGTGGTAATGGCTTAAATACTTTCCGTCGTTCACCCTTCCAAGTAAATGAACCATTCCGCTGCCGGCAGAACCTACTCCCATTTCAAATCGCAAATTTACGTTTCGATGGTTACGAATCTCATTTGACTGCAGCACAGACCCTGCTACTACGTGAGATTCTATCAACTTTTCCGACTATTCCATACGACAGTTCGGCAGTGTGTGGCTTCATCACATTTGGCATATTGTCATCCTTAAACTGGAATTAGATATTTAAGACTCCTTTGGCACGGACATTTCTTCTGCGGCTTCTAGTCCGTAGTGGCGATATTTATCCATAAATTTCTCCAGACACCTCTTCCTAATAGAAAGGCCTTTAAGCAAGTCGAAAACGTCACCAATGGCCCCTGGGAACTAATTACAGTAGTCTATTTGCAAAGTCCGAATTATGTACTAGCAAAGTGGCTGCCTCGTCGTCTCAAGTCTCTATCTGCTGATTCAGTGAATGCAATCACATCGTCAATATAACATTCGAAGGAACCTAAAGGGATAGGTCTCCTGTCAAGCAAGTTCATGGACTTCTTCAATGGCATGCCCATCTCCAGTTCTTTTCCGCGGGTTAAGCAAGTACGTTGGAGAAACTGGGAGAATACAGCGGTCGCGGATGGCCGAACATGAATGAGCTCTAGGGAGGACAGACGCCAGCCCTCAAGATGCCACTCTCTTCACGAGATATCGTCACATGTCTGAAGGGACTGACACTCTCGTGACAGTAGTCAAGGGCGAGCGCCACGGGTTGCTTGAATCCCGACGCTCTGGCCCTCAGTCGAATAAAAAAGCGCAATTACATATGTCGCCTCGTCGCCATATTCGGTGCTGAGTTTTTGCTTTTCTTAGTTCCTATCTATGTGATGAGAGTTTGGTTGAGAGTGCTTTCAGTCACATACTGACACGCGAAATTTCAAGCCATTTTCTTACCGATTGCCATCAGCGGTGATAGAATCGTGTCCACTGAGGGCTCTGTTATGTTCTTTCATGCATCGTTGCACCAACTGTGACCCACTGAGAGGAATGCGGAACTACTAGTTTTGATAGGATTACAGTGGTGTAACCGGTGGTTGTTCACTACCTTTATCCATTGTTATCTGTGGTCATGTGTTTGTGTGTGAATCTTTGAGGTCATGCAATCAGAGTTCGTTATCGTTCGATAAAAATCTCTTTCCTTTCTTTCCAACTCACTAGTTCTGTGGGTGAAGTCAGCTTTTACTATTTCCGTTTCTACATTTATAGTTAATTTGCTCTTTAATAGCGTTAGCGCTGAATATTTGAGTGGAATATCATTGCGGTTGACTTGTGATCCGAGGGTCGGATTATCTTTAAGCAAGGTTTTCGCACTCTGATATGTCGCCCCTCTCTCTAGAAATTGCGTCTAACTGAGCTTGATATTATATCAGGTTCTATAGTGTGGGTTCGAATTGAATTTTCGTGTCGTTGCAACTTCACTGCTCATGCGTGATCAATCATTCTCCTGAACATAATTTTTTCCGATACCCGGCCATATTTGCTTTGCCGTTAGCTGCATCAAATCCGGCAAATTGTCTCTTTTATTCGGTGATGGAACCCTCTTCCTTCTGGCTGTCTGATTGAATCCGTCTCTTTGTCTGCACGTGCAACCATTTTTTTAACATTTCCTTTTTGTGGTGCACTAGCCCTCTTTAATGCCAGATGATGACGCACTGAAGCCAAACGTTATTCCCCATAATTCCTGAAACTTCCAGTCGTCTGTCATGGAATCTCGCACAGAGATTTTCGAGTGACTTCCGGTCATAACTTTCATACTGTGCTGCGACTAAACAAACCTTTGTTTTTGCGCTTTCACTTCGATATCTGGTTAGAATAAGGCCAAATTTACGACCTATGTGTTGTCCATCTCTCGACATTTGGACCATGAGTCCGTATTTTGTTGCGGTATTTCCTTAC